GCCAATGTTGCTACTGCACTCGTGCTGGCTTTGTTGTTCCTTCGAAGGTCACGCTTCTTCAACAACTGCAAGGTCCGAACAATAGGACTTGCAAGACCAACTTGTAAGAAAGTTGACCTACCCCCTTTCAATCAATAAGTTTGATCAAAAGTTGTATCCTTCAACGTGGTGTGGTACTTGAGGCAAGGAAACCTTCAAGTATTTACACTATAGCTTTTTGGAAGGAGGAGAAATTTGCTTCTGGATAAGGAGTTTAGAAATCTCTCTTTATCAAGCTTTTTGGGCTAACTGTGAATGAGGTAGCCTCTTTGTGGTTGTTCTTCTTATCGTTGATGAGTTGTATATTTTTCTCCAGTCTTCCAAGGATGCTTCTTAGATAATTTTCTAAGTCTTTTCTCACTTGTCCGCTTTTTGAGAAATCCGGTCTTCCTTGAGGCATCCGGTTCTTAGCTGACAAATCCGGAAGAGTCATACTCAGTCTTCCGGGTGAGAAAGAAATCTGCGCTAATCTTGCGACTTAGCCTTCAGCGGGTTGTAACGAGACATCCGGTTCTCATGTAATATTCCAGATAGGAGGATTTTTGTCTGCTTTGAGAAATCCTTACTTGTCTCTGACATTTCCGATCAAGATATGCAATTTCCAAAATTTCTGAATTTGATTAAGTCTTCAGGCATCAAACCGTTTAATGAAATATCACAACTTTATTGGGAATCTCAAGAACTTGGTTTTAACAATATTTCTAAAAATTACATTGAATATCTGGGGATACCTAAAGTCCCTATTACATTCTAAATATATCATCATCAAAATCTATGATATTTTTCCCAACAATTTCCCCCTTTTTGATGATCACAAACAAGTGTTTAAGAGTTCCGGTCGCTGTACTGAGAACTAATTTTGTAACTTTCTTTTAGTTTCTCATAATATACAGCTTGTTAACAAAAACTCTTAAACAAATACAATTCAAATTACAATAATTCATAAACCAAGTCTTGTCTTGAGATTTTGTGATCTCTTCCGCCATTGACCGTTTTCAGCTTCAGCAGATTCTGCTTGGCGGAGCGGTTGGCGTTGCGTTTGATAGATCTTTAATATCCAAAGTGTATGGTGTAATCCTGAAAAATACGAGATTTTCACCATAGACTTTCTCTACTGCCGAGATTCTCACCATAGACCTTGAAAGTCTTTTCTTCTCAATAGACTTCTTCCATTGCCGTCTATGAGGGTGAGAAAGAAAAATTTCTCCATTGAGGATATTTTTCTTGGTGTGTTTCTTAGACAGTGAGTTTGAAGATTTTTCATATTGAAAGAGCTGTTTGTGATAGGAATGGATTGAGATATCTTGATTTAAATAAGAGAGGAGATATAGAGAGGGGAGGTTCACGGGTTCCATTAATTGGGTAGATGGAACGGTGAGAGTAAAAGAGTTTCAACTTCCAAGAAGTTGAAAAGTGGAAGGAATCTTTTACCAATTACCAATGAATTGAAACTGTTCTAATTTGAAAATCAGTTTCGTTTGGTTTGAGAACCATAACTGTTTCAATTTTGCTAAGCCCAAAAGAGTGGCCCAAAAAGAAAAGAAAGCTATGTACTAAAGGAAAATTATTCCTATTGGGTTCTCAAGGCCCAAAATAAAGCTATCATTTTTCATTCCCTATAGTTCTAATTTCTACTTAGGACGAGGTAGTACCAAAACAAATATGAATTTTATTTTTAAAAGAAAAGTGGTACTATTTTTCCAAAGTCCTGTACATTTTAAAAATCCTAAGGACCAGTACTTTTAGAGCTTGTTGGAAATGAATTAAGGACTGAAGCTTAGCTTAAGAAGGCAGATTTTGTAAAGTACCTGAATCGGAGATTTCCAATTTTAGTCCCAAAACTGAGATATCCGTCTTCCATTGCTTAGAGCTTATCAATAATTCATTGCCAAAAACAATTGTTAGCCAAAAACTAGTTAAGTTCCCCCTGAATTACATTCCCCCTGAATGTATGCGCTAGGAATAAACCTCAAAAACATGCTTGAATTAGGTATAATCAAGCATAGTGAGCACAATTAAGAGAAATATTAAGGCAATGTTTAAACCAATAGAGCAATGTTTAAACAAGAAGGTGTTTTCATCAAAGCAAAAACCTTCAGTGCTTCTTGCGCTTTGAAGATTCGGCAATCTCCCTGATGCCTTGCATGTTTCCACATAGTTCTTTGATGCGCCTTATGTTGTTCCGTCTCTCCTCTGTTTGATTTTCATTTGAGAAGTGAGCAGCAATTGTTCCTACAGCCTCTGTTCCATCCAATCCGGAGCTGGATAAGCGCTGTGTTGAGTTTTCCAGATTGCTTCTCTGAGCTTCAAGGACTAGATCAGTCAAGTTTAGATGCGTAGGAATGTAAGAGACTTCTCCTTCTTTGACTGCAATGGGGAGCTCTGGAATCAAGGATGGACTGTGTTGTTGAAGAACCACTTCCATCTTGCGATTTCCAGAATTTGTGGTAAGAAGTCTGAATAGTTTGTGTGCTTCCTTCTGATTGTCAATGATTACCTTCAAGTAGTCTTTGGTTACTACTTGATTTGCTGAAGACACTGCCAGAGCTGCTCTGATATCCATTTGGAGAATGGACATTTGTTTTTGTAGACTGATTGTGACATTTCCTATTTGGTCTCTGATGTTGTTAGTCTCCTTAAGTTGAAGATAACTGTCAGATGCATATGTCTCCATCGTGTTGCTCACAGTGTTACTCAATAGAGATAAGATCTCTAGAGTTTTATCCACTGATTTGCTTATCTCCTTGAGATTGGAGCAGTGTGTTTCTTCGGATTTCTCAATCAGTTTGTTGTGCCTGGCTTCCATCTGCTCTATCTCTTGCCTAAAGGAGGCATGTTGGGATGCTAGGGCTGAGTCAATCAGCCCTTGGACCTTCTTTGTCCAGATTTTCGGTACCTCATCCGGAAGAGTAGGAATGGAAGAGCTATGGAAATGGAAGTTGGTTACCTGATTAGAAGAGAGAGTTCTTTGGAAGAGTTGCATATGAAGAGATTCATCATCATCTTGTACATTTTATTCATCATTGATCTTCAGGGTCCTTTCAGATTCTTCTTCTGCTTCCCCAAGTGTGAAATTTGATATATCCCGAGAGAGGGAGTCTCTTTCTTCAGCTTCATTCTGTCCTTCAAAAATGGCTACTGGAGATTTGGAGGCCTCCAGTTCTGCCATTTGAGTTTCCTTCTCAGCTTCTGCAGAACTTCTCTGGGCTTCTACAGCTTGCTCTTCTTGAGCTTCATTTGTTTCTGGAGTTTTGTACATCTCCAGATTTTCTGTTGACTTCTCCGAGATCTCAGTTTCAGTAGGATTGGTGATCTCACAAGGATTTGTGAGAATCTCTAATGCTTCAGAATGGAGAAGTTGCTGGAATTCTTCATTTGATCCTTCCTGGTTCTGTTTTTGTGGAGTAGAGACTTCAGCTTCAGGTGGAACAGTTTCAAAGGCAGATGAGGTTTCCGGAAATATTTGGAAATCCTCAGCTGTTGTTTCCAAGTTAGACTGTGCTTCAGAAGTGAGAACCACCTGATCTTCTGTGGTTTTTGAGAGGACTGGTTTGTATACTGCAGGATCCTCATCATCCACTTCAAACTCTGAAATTGGTGAGGTGACCAACTGTTCCAGATGCAAATCTTCATAGTTCCTTTGCCATACCCAGTCAGCATCCAGGATTTGCTCACAACAATAGTTGACTGGCAGACCTAAGCATTTCTTGATCATCTTCTCATTCTTCAATTGCTGGTCCCAACTCAGCAACTGTTCTGCTGAATTTCCAACTTTCCAAGCTCTCTCCAGTCATAGTAGAGCTGCCAGAATTGATTCTCAGCATCATCTACTTGAGGTTGTGAGGAAGTTAGAGAATTCCGAACTTGAGGAATTTCTTCTTCAAGTTGTTGAGGACTCTGGTTGTGAGCAGAGGTTTCCTCAGTTGGTTCCTTCTCCTTCAACTCATCCGGATTGACATGTCCAGATGTTGAGGGAGAGGTGATTTTCCTCTTCTTTTTCCTTTGTAGTTCTCCTTGGTCAGAGTATTCTTCTTCTTCTTCTTCAAGATTGATTGGAGCAAGATTCTGTGGTGCTTCAGCACTGGGAGAGGGAGACACCACTTGCTATCTCTTTACTGATTTGTTCAGACTCATGAAAAGGACATTGTCTGAAGAACTTTCCTCTGCAGTTGTGCTAGCACCAGCTCTGTTTTCCCCTTTGGAAGACAAATAGTACAGCCAATATCTGGCTTCATACTTCTTTCCTTCAGAAGCAGCACCCAAGGACTCCAAGATATGTCCAATGTACAGACCTTGACAAAGGTATTTCTGGTTGGATTTTCCCAGATGCTTTGAGATGGAATTGAAGAAATGAGCAGCCCAATTTACCTTAGACTTGGTAATGAGGGCATTGATGATGAAGGCCCTCTCTTGGGTGATGTCATCAGCATGTCCTCCACTTCCACATTCGAGGCATGCGATGACCAGTTCAAGGACTAGCTTGTAGTCGTTGTTCAGATGAGCTTTCTTTGCTGGGCCAAAGGGATTTTGCCCAGAAATTCCAATAATGCTCCAATCCAGATTCTTGGCTGGAAGTCTCCCAATTTCAACTCCAGAATTGGGAAGGTGAAGCTTTTATCCCAATTTCTTCTGCGAAAGCTTCACTTTTGTCCCTCCAACAATGGAGTTGATGACTTGAATCGTCCTTTGTGGGTCCTTCTTCGATTTGACAGTCTTGACCTTTCCATTCTTATAGAATTCAAGAACTTCGTTCTCATACTTGAATCGAATCTCCATATGAAGAAATTCGGAGAGCTCTTGAGCAGCAATCATCTCCAGATAGGATTGATAGAACGTTGATGAGGAGCACTTGGCTTCCAACTTCTGGAAATGGATATTAGCGCCAACAATCTTCATTTTCTCGGAAATTTGAGTGAGAAGATCTGAAGAAATTAGGGTTCTTGAGAATTTTATCAAAAGATTCTCGTGAAGAAGACGATGAAAAATTTGAGTGGGCTGAGTGGGCAGTTGAGGTCTGATTATAGTGACGATTGGGTTTAATGTGGGCGATTTATGCGGCTAGTGGCGATTGGGTTTTTAACTGTTCCCAAGGCCACGTCCCCACCCACCATTTTGACAGACGTGGAAAATGAACTGCCACGTGTACCACACTCAGTTTAATTGAATTAGACCAATTTTGTGAAGCAAATCGGAAAACTTGGCTTCACTTAGTGGTTTGGTGAAGATATCCGTCAGTTGTTCTTCAGTTGAGATATACTCAATTTTGATATCTTTCTTTTTCACATGATCTCTGATGAAGTGATGCTTGACATCAATGTGCTTAGTGCGAGAATGATGCACTGGATTTTGTGAGATGGCTATAGCACTTTGATTGTCACAGAAGATTGTCACTTCCTTTGTCTTGACTCCATAGTCCAGTAGTTGTTGCTTCAGCCACAGAATTTGAGCACAACAACTACCAGCAGCAATGTACTCTGCTTCTGCTGTAGATGTAGAAATGGAGTTTTGTTTCTTACTGAACTAAGAAACAAGATTTCCACCAATGAATTGACAAGTACCAGATGTACTTTTCCGGTCAACTTTGCATCCGGCAATTGTATGTCTCTCGTATGAGAGATAAATGGTGTGCTTATTATTTGTACATTCCCGATATTTATAAAATAGGTATTATTTGTGATCCACGCTTTAAGATTGAAAATTTTAAAATTCTAATTGACTATTACTACACTTGTTTTTTTAGATGAAAATAGTTATTACTACAGCCATTTAATAGAATGGAAAAATGAAAGAGATAACTCTTTTTGAGGATTTGTTTAAGGAATATCAAGGGTTATACGGTACTGTACCAGAAGAAACAACACCTCCTCCGCCCCCTAAATCAAAAAAAAGTTTTAAAGGAATAGTCGGTGGGCTTCTTGCAAAGAAAGGGAAGCGTGCTCAGCCTTCGACGAGTTCAAGTGGTACAACAGTAAGCTCGCACAACGAACTTGCTATGTACCAAGGGGTGCCATGCGATTACGACGAGGACGACGTGGAGTTTGACGTCCTCGGATGGTGGAAGCGGAACGAACACATCTTCCCATGTCTTAGAAAGCTAGCAAGACAAGTGTTGTCCGTCTCGGTATCAACCGTAGCTGTGGAACAAGAATTCAGTGCTGGTGGCAACATTCTAACCGACTTTCGAAGTTGTCTTAACGCTGAATCTCTTGAAACACTTGTTTGTAACCAAGATTGGCTCTTGGCAAGACGTCGAGCTCAAGAGTCAGGGTACGAATTCAATTCAGAGCATTACATGAATGCAACCACAGATGGAAGTCCGAGTTCTGAGGAATAAGTTATAAACTTTTTTTATGTTAATGTAAATACGTAATTAGTTTTTTAGGTGAGCGATATATAAGCTCATTCGAGGGTTTCTTTACGGTTCATTACCTCGTCGCTTTTTTTGAACCGTCAGGATATTAAATGTAGTTGTTCTTCAGTTCGTGTATTACTTATTTTACAATATTTAAATAACAACTACATTTTTAGATTTTTTATTTCAATCTTTCCTTTAACAATTGCAAATTTACAATTTTACACTTTAAATATTAAAAAAAAAAATTGGGGGTGGCCGAAACCGGCCGGTTCGGTACCGGAACCGCCGGTCCGGGTACCGGAACCGGTAACGCCCGGTCCGGTCTCAGTACCGGTACCTAGGGGTGGCGGTACCGGAACCGGAGGTTCCAGAACCAGAACTGGCCCGGAACCGTACCGTGTCCACCCCTATTACTTGTTCTCATGATCTATTTCAATAAATCATTTTAAAGTTCACGTCATAAACAATTTCTTTATTTATTCTTAATTTGGGTCTGTACTCTGGTTTCCAATCAAGATCACACATAAAATCAACATATTGGATTTATCTCTATGAGATTTATCTAGATTGTGATATTGGATATCAAAACATATTTCATTTCGATGCAAAGCCCAATAATAATTTATTTTAATCACATCAAATTTGTTTAATTGAATAATAATTCAATAATAATTTTAGGGTATGTTTTGGGGCGTTACAATAATAGCCTTAAGGCCATGTTAGCGGTACACCTAAGTGGTATACTGCATTTATATACCAGACAAATACAAACACAATGTGAGTGTGGATCACATACAGATTGTGTATATGTTGTCCGTGTTGATCTGAGATACAATGGGGTACACCCAGACTTGACAAAAATAACCGACTTGTTTTTTGCTTGAAAGCCAACTTGAAAACAATGTGTTTTGAATGAAAGTTTTGTTGACCGAACCTGAAATGACTCGCTAAAAATGGGTCAAATTCAACCGGACTTGACCGGCCTGCTAATATAAGAGTTTTTCAAAATCATATACTTTACTATGAAATATAATGTTAAAAAAATAAGGTTATAATTATATTTTTCTTACTATTCATTTTTAGTCTATAATATATTTTCGGATAATATTTTAATGATAATGCATAATTATCTTAATTTTTTGTAAATATATGCTTTTTTTAATTTTTTATATTGACTTATATAGCTAAAAATTACTTCAAAATTTAAAATAATATTGATGGGTAATAACCCATGGATACTGCCCGGTAGGTTCGACCGACCAGGAGTTATCAGATGTAACGCCGCTTGACTTAGGCAACCCGGGCTGTTGGACCAGTCGGGTGTGAGAAGATCCAAAATCGAAGACGTAGTTTCTTCTGGCGAAGACATACAAACAGCCCGGTCAGACATCTGACCGGCTGAATGATCAATGACGTGCTTGACGTGCTTAGGATTATTATAAATACTCCTAAAAGCCTCATTTGTGAGGCATGTTTTAATTAATCTGTACGGCTTGTATCTTGTAATAGTCCTATTATTATCAATAACAAACCGGGTTACAGGTGTTTCCACCTACAGCCCTTCCGATCACTTACACTTTATATTTGCACGGTAATTTACACCATCATATAATATGATTTAATACATATTTTTGATATTTTGCGAAATGCATGTGTTAATATGAGTTTAAAATTTTTAAAAGTCAAAGTAATAACTCGCTGGATCAAACCAAACTTGATGATACTGGCTCATGAATGTATAGTTTTCAACCTGAATCCAAGCCAAATTCGAATCCTACTTGATCAACCGATTTGTAAAGTCTAGGTACACCTGTACATCCATTCAATAGCCTTATGTTAGCTAAGCCCGTGAGTCCCTGACCAGGGCGGCGTACCATATAGGCCCGTTCTAACATTATTCACAAGTCACCACCAACATTCGAGATCCTCCATGCCATTTCGGGGCGCTATTCATTCGTCTTCCTGGGAGAAAAGATAGCGTGAGTTTAGCGTTGTATAAGCGACCCATTACAGAAATGGCAGGCGAGCCGACTAGGATCATGATCGCACTGAACGAATCAACGATTAAGGGCTATCCACACCCTTCGATCAGCAGCAAGGGAGCCTTCGAATGGACTATTAACAAGATCGTCCGGTCCAACACATCTTCATTCAAGCTTCTCCTTCTCCATGTCCAAGTCCCGGATGAGGACGGTACGATATCTTTCTCCATCTAATGTGTATCTCATCGCTCTTAACTCAAACATAGGGTTACAAAACTTGAAATGTGGGGTCCGATTGTGTTTGAGAATTTATAGAATAGATGAGCCTGCTGACACATCGAATTTCAATTCCTATATTTCTTATAAAGAATCTTTTTTAGATTTAGAAATGTTTGCATTCGGCTTGATTTTGAAAAAAGTTTAGTTTTATGTCATGAGCTATATTGGTGATATGTATTTGCAACAGGCATGCACGCCAATTTTCATATTGTAAGCATTAGTAGCTGTATGTGGTTGCAATGAGTTATTTATAGAAATCCAGACAGAGCTGGATTTAAATTTTAAAATGTGTTTTGAACTGGTTACATATGAAAGCAAATATTGCAAATGATGTTTGACCTACATGAGCTTTGCATAATGCGTCTTGTGGTTTTTAACTTGCAACCCTTTGAGTCTTTTTCATAAATCCGTACTCCATATTTCTTGCTCTTTTGTACATCCTGTATTGTTTTTAGATGTTTATGTGCATCAGTAGTGTTATTACCCATGGCGTTGTATCCATCTAAAGTAGATTCGGATAGAATTAGAAGTGCACATATTTGGACATGCATGGCTAAGATTTAGCATGCCCTTGAAGGTTAACTCCCCTAAAAGCATTGAAAGTTTGGTGAAAGTTGTTGGGGCAGGCAGGCAGTGGGAATTGGGAGAATATGTTTAGCTGTTTGTTGTTGTGATGTGTTCTTGATGTCATCATATATAACTGTTTGGTTTATATGTAATCTGATACATGTCTCTATCAAACCATTTCAAAATTCTAATTAAATAGGTTTTGATGACATGGATAGCATCTTCGCGTCGCCACAGGATTTCAAGAACATGAGGCACCAGGAGAAATTAAGGGGACTCCACCTGCTTGAATACTTTGTGAATCGTTGTCATGAGCTAAAGGTATAATTGTATAAAGATACTCTATGGAGCTCTGTTTTATCATAATTCCAGTGGTATAACACAATTTCTATACCATACTTTTCGTGTGGAGTTAGGGCCTGTTTGGTCGAGTTGGTTTTAGCTGTTGTTGTTAGACAACTCTTAAGAATTTTTGGATTCTAGGTGTTTGGTTGAGTTGGTGCTGTTGTGATGTAAAATTACTAGTAAGGGTTTTATATAGTAAAAAACAAAGGTGAGATTTTGGGAACAACATCCAAACTCTACAGTAAAAAACAAATGCTCCAATTTTGGCTGTTGAACTCCATTTAGAAATCTCAGCCGCAAACGTGACTTGAGACGTTAAGACAAACAACCACTAAAACTTCTAAAGTATATTATGGCTTATTATTAACTTTATAACACAATAATTCAACAGGACCTCTCATTTAGTTGAAAACATTTGCATTTTGCAGATATCATGTGAAGCATGGATCAAGAAAGGAGATCCCAAGGAAGTCATCTGCCATGAGGTTCACCGTGTGCATCCAGATCTTCTTGTAGTTGGTAGCCGTGGTCTTGGGCCTTTCCAACGGTATGCCTTTTAAAATATCTCTATTTGCTTAAATATAATACGGAGTATTAGAAAACCGCTTAAAAGTTGTTTTCCTTTACTTTGTTGGACCCTGCACACCATCAATTTGCCAAGTTCCTATCCTACACACACACACACACATAAGTTGAGTGTATTTGTTGTGTTGTTGACATGTGGCATGCCACATGTGCACCCATTAATGAGGTGGAAGCATTTCATTGGTCCATATAACTCTTTTTAAAAGATCTTTTAATATATTTTATTGGATTACATTACGTAAATATTGTTTTTAGTATTAAAAAGCATTGCTTTAATTATTCCATATAGAAATTTAGAATTTTTATTCATTCTTTAACAATTCTATAATCATATAGTATTTCACTATTGTAAAATATACTCCTTATTTGAAGTATGCATATTGATTGTAATATTTAGAAAAAGAGTATGTATAAGACTCTATCATTAAGTTAAAAACATTTCACTTTCAAAAAAATTAAAAAACATTTTGCTTTAAAAAACATTAAATAATTTTTGGCATTTTCATGTTTTATTTATTTGTAAAACTTTTTGGCATTGTTTTGTTTTTAATAATTATTTATTAAAAAAGTATTTGATTTCAAAAAAATTACTCCCTCCATCCCTTAGTTAATGTTCACTTTCTATTTTGCACCAAAACCAATGCAAAGGGTAAAAAGTCATAAATTCCCTTTTGTTTTGGATCTTCTTCTCCACCCGTCCTTGTGCCACAATTAGTTGATGTGCAACCATAGCAATGGCCAACGCCATGTCTCCCCCAGTCTGACCACAGAGGCATAGCCCCCCTCCCACCCCACCCCCCATCAGAGTACCCATTCCAAACTCCAACTATTTGCTGTTGAGCTACTGCGACCCAAGAAACCTAGTTCCAATTTTGAATTCTTAACATGGCCTGTGTCTAGCCTCCCCTTTTGACCCGGTTGCTGTCGCATAATCTATTGTAACTCATATCTGCCCACCGCCGCGTAGTCCATTGCTGCACAACTCATCCGATCAAATCGCTGCCAAGATATTGTTACATGGAGATCTGAGAGATTTGCAGAAGCAGATTAATACATATGCAGAAGTAGATGAAGAAGAAGAAAGTGGCATAACTCCAAAGAAGGATTGGATTGAGGCAAGGTTGATTAGATCTAGGTGATGATAGATATGGGTGGATGACTGGATGTAAATAAATCAATAAATATATGGATGAGAAAGAAGATAAGGCGTAAATGAGTGTTTGTGGAGAAGGGCAAAATTGACATTTTATTGAAATTTTTTTACTAGAAAAGGAAAGTGGACAAATATTGTGGGACGACCCAAAAAAGAATACTGAACGGAGGGAGCATTATATTCAATGGCCGATAATTTTGTATTAACTTTTTACGACACACATTCGCGCTATGCGCATAATAATTTTTTTTATTATATAACCATTTTTATATTAAATTCTTATAAACTCCTTTACTTTCTAACATTAAATAACCATTGTTGTTCTGAAATTATTGTAAAACTTTTCTATTTTTAACAATAGATAACGATTATTTTTATAGACTTTTTGCATTTTAACTAATTTCAAAACATTTTTTAGGAGTATAATACATGTTTTAAATATTCATAATTATATGATGTTAATTTTTTAAAAGTTTTATACTCTAACAAACAAAAAAACATTATTTTATATTATATTATTTTTTTACTATCCACTGTTTATAAGTTATACGGAGTATAATTCTCTTCGGATGTAGAAGAAAGTAGTCGTATCGCCTCATGTGATTTCCTCGTTATGTGTGTAAAGCACTGTAGCAGCATAGAGCTTCCATCTTCAGATGTTTTTCTGATGTTTTTTTAAACTAAGCACCAGATGTTACCTAGATTTTGGATTTTATTTTGTTTATGGTTTTTTCATTTTATTTTTGCAGGGTGTTTGTTGGAACTGTTAGTGAGTTTTGTGTTAAGCATGCTGAATGTCCTGTTGTAACCATCAAGCGCAGTGCCGCAGAGACCCCTCAGGACCCTGTTGATGACTAAATGTCACTGCATGTTTTGATGGATTTATGAACTTGATGAGGTTTTGTTTGATTGTACATAAGGACAACAATTAGTGGGCATACGCCATGTTGCGTGCATTGTGGATTGATTGGGCTTGAATCTAGATGTTCACCTTCATAAGCTTTCCCCTCAAAGGGTATGTTCTTTTGAGATAGAAAAGTTAATTTCTGTGAAAAATGGCGAGCTCTAATTAACAACTTCAAAGAGCCATAAGAGACGTAGATAATCTTCTTGAGGTCGTTGTTAAGTAGTTGAGATTTAGGAAGAAAAAGTTCAAATAAGCATTCAAAAATTTTATGAACTTTTTTTATTATGATTTGGCGCTTGATAAGGTGGAGAAATGCAGAAGAATATAATATATTTTATTTTAAAATTATGATAGAGGCAATGGTTTTTTTCTCAAGATGGATTTCTTTGTTTAGATGGATTTACTGCATTTAAGCATCATGTTATGCTGAAAAATTAAGGCAAGTATGTACTCAACAAAGAATTCCATCTTGAGGATAAATATTACATCATCACCTTTATTATAAACACAAGATTTTGCATAGATAATAGAATATTCTTCCTTAAGATTTTGAATATTCTTCTGCATTTCTCCACATCATCAAGCGGCAAAGTATAATCACAAAGCTCATAAAATATTTGGATGCTTACTGGAACTCTCTCTTCCTCAATTTCAGCCCCTGAACGACCTCAAGAAGATTCTTTACATCTTCTATGGCTTTTTGAAGTTGTTGGAGCACACCATTCTCCACAAATCTATTCTTCTTGAACACCACAATGTCTCTAATAATTTTCACACCACACAACTTTGTTTGAACTCCCCATCAAGGCAAACGGTTCGATCTCTCATTCCAAACACTGCTTTTAAAATTTGCATGAACTTATCGGATAGCGTTACCTGGTTATTTGGTGCTTCTAACCAAATATCATCTTTCTTTGATACCATCCAATGCAGTAGAGACTTTAACATTCTAGGATATTTCCCTTTGAGGTCGTTAACAATCTTGTCCTTCTCAGTTTCAGATTGTTTTTCCTGTTCTAAATTGAGCACGAGTTGTTCAACCTTTTCACACTTAGGTGATTTTTCCATGTGCACAAGTTAATTTAGTCTAGAATCCCTTTTTAGGTACTCATTTTCATTAGAAAATCATAAAATATGTGTATCTCTATACATAATTAGTGCACAACTAGGGAAACTAAGAGGTAGATTAAGTTTTTCTAGCTCACACTTGACTTATTATGGTCGTTACTTTTGTTATTGTATTTTAAGTCTCATGTAAACATAACATGTGCTAGATATTTTGAACTAGGCATGCAATGTATCACTAATTATAAGCTTGATGCAAAACACAAATCAAGTAAACAAACTAACCAGATGAATGAATAATTGTATTAAATGAGCACTTAAATGAAAGAAATAGGAAAAAGGGAATGTTCCCTTGTCATCTACATAATTTTTTACTGCTTTGAATCCGCATAACTAAAATAAATATGAGATGTTTGTATAGAGTAAATACATATTATAAAAATATCAAGATTATACGGCTTGTGAGGCATCTCCATGCAAGAGTAGTTTTGTCACATGGAAGGATGTTGAGACTAAGGTCATAACTGTTTTAAAAAACACCATAGAGTTATTGAAATGAGAATTTCGTACATATACCAAAAAATATTCACTGAAAATTTTATCTCCTTACCCTGATCTCCTGGGGCGACAGAATTGGATAGTTAAAATTGGATCCACCTTCTCCTGGCTAATTTTTCTATTAAATTCTTTGATGTAATTGTTCCAAAATGTGCATCCAATCCTCATTCCCCTAGTATTTTGTGGCCAATATAAAAGTTGAAAGTTAGGAAATATGTACAATTGCAAGTGAAATCTATAGTCAACAAATGTTACTCAAGATCTTCTAGTGTGACTTCCATCCGTCTAGAGTTTTCTGTTCCATGTATGTTTGATGTTGCAACAACTTTTCCAATCACATCTATTAAAATATTCAGTGACTTAGTTTTTATTATAACCTATAAAAATTAAACTTGATTATAAAATGCATTACCAATTAGCATTCTTTCATCTATCTCATGTTGTGCTAAGATATAATTGATTGCCTGAAATTTATACATGAACCTGGGGAAAATTTGGGTAGGTGGAACCTCAGTCTCGTTCTTTGGCGTAAGATCCTTAAACATGGTTTTGGATGTGATGATCAAAAGCCACAGATGGCTGGTTGTTTTGTAGGTATGGTAGTTTGGTTGAACACAAAAGTTGCATAGGGCATAAACACCATCTTTTATTTTTTCTTGATAGTAAGTAAGTTCGGGGGCATTAACCTTTGCATGAATTCGAGTTCCCTTTTAATAAAGCAAATTTAAACATGGATTGTTAACATTTACGTACATCTATGAATCTAGATTAATAGTAATGGAGTAGGGACAAATTTATCTCTTAATTATGAAAGATTATATCCATGCTCCTTACACTTCGATCACGGTTTGGCACTTGGTATACCCTCACAACCCTCAAAGGGTAATATCTTAAAATGTCTAAGTCTCTACTTCATTGAATGCAAGAAAAGTGATATTTAGTTAGAATCACCAGATAACTAGGTAAAGTTGTTTGATAAATTCATGTGAATTTTAAGAGCAGTGTTTGAAATGAGATATCAAACCGTTTGTCTTGATCGGAGAGTTCACACAAAATTGTGTGCTGTGAAAATTGTTAGAGACATTGTGGTGTACAAGAACAGATTTGTGAAGAATGGTGTGCTCCAACATCTTTAAAGAGTCACAGAAGACCTAAAGAATCTTCTTGAGATCGTTATTCAAGTGGCTAAAATTGAGGAAGAAAAAGTTCGAGTAAGCATCCAAATATTTTATGAGGTGGAAATTGCAGAAGAATGTTTTATTTGCTATTCAAATATTCTGTTTTTAATGATAAAGGTAATGATGTAATGTCTAGCATCAAAATTAAAATCTCTGTTGAGATGAATGTTATTGCATTTAAGCATCATGTCACGCTAAAAGATTTAGGCAAGTATGTGATGAAGATTCAACCATCTGAAAAAGAGTAGAATCATTGAAGTTTCACCTTGATTTCCTTAATAATTGAAAATTTCACCTTGATTTCACTCTTGTACCCTACCTTTCCTTCCATTTCCCATTCTTCCATCTTTTCCTCCACTTTCATGTCTCTGTTGAACATCCTTATATGATTTAACTCTTTGTTAGAGTGTTGAATCCTCATCACATACTTGTCTAAATTTTCAGCATTAAATAATGCTATATTGCAGCATATCCACCTCAACAAAGAATTCTATCTTGAGAATAAAATCATATTTTCTGTAACGCCCCGAAAATAGGCCTATCAGAATTAATTAATTGATAATTAATTAATTACTGAGAAGGACCCAAAAATAGGTGATTTATAAAGTTTGTCAATAAATAATGAAAGTTATATCATTATGTAGAATTTAACTGTCTGATCCCAACGGTTCAATCGGATTTCAATTCGGAGAAAGTTTGACCAAAACGTGTTCCCCGACTGGGACCAAATTAGTCCCAAACTTGCGTTTGGAATCCTAGCAATCGCCACTCCCTCCACCGAGATGCCAAAACAGTAGCAATAGGAGGTCATCACCCATGTCTTCTTCCTCTCCTCTCCACTATATAAACCCCTCCAAACTCCACCATTCTTCATGAGTCTTCTTCCAAAAGATAGCTGAGAGTGAAGAGAGTGAAGTAGTGCTGTCAAGAGAGCTTCCCGTCGCCGGAGATAGCCACAATCCTCGCCGGAAATTTTTCCGAAAAATCTTTAAAACCTTCATTTACCTTCAAGGTAAGCCCGTAGATATATCTAATGACTAGAATGTTCGTATAGATCGTTTCTACGTTCATAAACGCTCGTTTGGTTGAGTTGTGTGTTTGACATACTTGAAGAACCAAAAATCATAAACCATGAAATTGATATTAAAACTATGAATTAATGATGCCAAAATGATATATGAACCTTGGAGAACATCTCTATATAGTTTCGTTGAAGTTCGGTGACTAAAAATGGTATTTCCAAAATTGGACTCGTAACGAAGAAGACGATGAACAGTGGCTGAAAATACCCAGTGAGGATCGATCATCCCTCTTGGATTGATCCAAATGAGTATTTTCTCTACGGAGGATTGATCCAAAGTGCTGGATCGATCCCCCGACCTGTCTGCTCCGATAATACTTCTGAAAATGCTATTTTTGAGCTCCAAAATCCTATTTTTGATTCCAATTGATTATGATCATTATAAAAATGATTTTTCATAATAAAAATTATGTTTTTAACAAATAAAAATGTTATTTGATGCATGACGGTGAGTTAAAGTGTTAACACCCGAAGCTAGGCCGCTAATTGTTATTAAATGTTATGTTGATTTATGATTATGGTAATGATTTTTGATTGATAATTATGATGATTAAACCTTGATGAACATTCTGATTAAAAATGATAATTGTGAATTATTAAATCATAATGAAGATATTGATGATTGTGAAAATAATATGTATTGTAAAGGGTATCTAGAAGACCTCTAAGTTATACCCATATTAATGTTGATTTGAAAGGTATTTAGAAGACCTCTAAGATATACCAATTTAACTTAGGCGTTGCGGGTATGAACCCCGGTGGCCAGGGTTAAAACGTACAAACGTACGTACGGGATCCAAGAACCAAACTTGAGTACCTACTCGTTGGGGGGTACCACCCACCCAACAGTGAACACTACGCTGTCGGTTTCTGGTTGACCTTAAGTGAAGGTAAGTTTAAGATTTTCGAAACCCTTTTATCTTAAACTAGGCCTAGCTTAAAGATTATTTAGAAGTACTTTATACTGGAATATAGTTTAATTATTTAAAGTAGAATTCATTTAAGGATTGACAAATATTAAAGTGATTGGCCTTAGACTAAGAATAGTTTAAGGATATTGTTGAATGTTGAATATTGAATATTGAATATTGAATATGAATAAATATTGAATTATGAATTTTGAATTGAATATTGTAATTATCATAAATGACGGATAAATATTGAAATGTGAAAATAAAATAATGAATGAAGAACATTGAGTAATGATTATTGAGTATTTGAACTGAACATTATGTGCATGATATCAAATGATTTGATTATGAATTTAGATTCAGTTTATATGGATGTTCGACGCATTAGATATGCTTACTCAGCTTAAACGATGAGCGTGTAGTATGTTTTATTTGCTACACGCTGGTAAACAAAAAGAATGAAGCAATGATTTCTTGGAGGCAGATGGGACGAGATGGTCGGGCGGATGTGTGTTTTAG